AACAAAAAGGATTATTTATATGAAATATTAACAATATTAAACAGTTAAAAATGTATAGATATGAAAGGATAATTAAGCTATATATGTCATAGAACTACAGAAAAGACTGATCTTGATTATAGTTTGATAAACGAGACTATATGCTTCATGACGATTTTTGAATACATAACGAGATATACGTAAAGGGTCCTGCAGGAATTGACGATTACCTTTAACTTGAAAAGCTACCTATATCATTTTGGAAGACATTTCGCGGCGCATCCAATGATATGTAGGAAATAGCATTTTCATGAAGATTTGATGTTATGAGACTCCGTATATCGATTGATAGATATTATACAATGTTATAATACTTGTGAAGGCTCTGACATTAACATATCCGCCAATCAACTTATGCAAAATTCTTTCTAAAACTCAATACTATAAAGTATTGGTTACAGCTGAATCTTGTATATTTGATAAATCGCCTTATTGGTTCTCTCGTAGTCAACATAGACCACTTTAGTCATTTTTCCTGAAATTTCGATTTAAAGACACTTTAGTTCACACGTCGTTGTGACTTAGAACATGGTGTTACTAACATGCAAGTCTTCGAAAATTTACGTATGATCCAGCTCTACGGCTTTTGAATCTTTCTAGTATCTGAATCGGAAGACTCCGAGTTCAAACCGCTGTATTACTGTCTAGAAAAGGCATATTTTTCGTTTTTTATCGACATAATGGTATCCCAGTTTTCTGTTATTCAACATAGCGCTAAGGAAATTTTTACCAGGTAAAAATCAGCTCATGGTATTCTAAGGATTAGTATAAATTTAGTCTTTTAAAAATGACAAAAAAAAATGTTAACCTTTAGATTCCTGGAGAGGGACACAACATGTAGTCAAAACAGGCGTGCCTTGTAGTTTTCTACGTTTCTGACGATTTTAGATTTTAAAGCAGTCACTAGATTTATAGCATTGAACTGTACACGATGCAGAAAATATGGGCGATTATTCGTTGACAAAAATTTCCTTAGTGAAACGGTGAATAACGATAATTTTGAGTATCATTGCGTTGTTAAAAAAAAATGTAAAATGGACGTTTTTTGGGCAGTGATACAGTAGTTTGACCATGAAGTCCTCCAAATTCAGAAACCAGTAAAATTAAAAAGATATACAGTTGCATGATGCCCAATGTCTGGCAGAGTTTCACGTTATTAATATCATGTTCTAAGCCACAGCATTGTATACATTGAAGCGTCCCGACATCGAAAATTCACGAAAGATGGCTCAAGTGATCTATGCTGAGTTAAGAGAAAGTAATGAGATGAGTTATCAAACATACAAGATTCAACAGCAACTAAGACTTTAGCATATTGACTTTGAAAAAGAACTTTATATAAGTTGATTTTTAGATATGCTAGCGTCACAACTTCCACCATTACCATCATATCGTATAGTGTTTATTGACCGATGTATAGAATCTCATAACATCAAAGCGTGGTGCAATTACAATTTTCTACATAGTATTTGATGCTCAGGGAACTGTTTTACAAAATGATATAAGTAGATTTTCGAATTTAGAAGTGGTCTTTAAACTGGTCGAAGTGCTTTGTAGAAGACTTTTTTCCTCGATCCTTTCATTTAGTATAAGGTCTCATTTCGTTTCATATATATATATATATATATGCTAGTGAGGCTTTGACTTGGTTGTATACAATATTAATATTGATATATGAAGATTCAATTCAAATCTATAATTTTCTAATTGAATTATCTTTCATGATTAAGCAATAAAATTCCATAATATGTATACTATTAGATAGAAATAGTATTTTTTTTTCAAATCTTCATTAATCTTGGTCTGCATTAGAAACATCAAGCTCGCAATACTTCTTGCAATTGAAAGACGTTATAATCTAAATTGAAAGTCTTTGACAGTTTTTGATCATCTTTGATCATATGCAACTGTGTTCTGGAAGCTTTATCTTAATATAAATCGAAAACCAACATATTTCGTAGAGTTTTCTCTTTGCTTTAACAATAATAAAAATAATTTAGTGAACCAGCAAATTTTGATACAAATAAATTACAACCATGGAATTGGCCACATTCAGAACCATGGAATCTTCATTGTCCAATGGAAGAACAATTAGAAAGTCCTCGATATAAAACAGCTGTACATGGTGAATATTTATGCGACAAAACTCTTTGTATGATTGGTGAACAAAAAGATGGTCAAGGAAAGGTTTATAATCATTATGATGTACATAATCTATATGGATGGTCAGAAACCTTACCGACATTAGATGCTCTTCGAGCTTTAGGAAATAAACGATCAGTTGTAATTAGTCGATCAACATTTCCAACATCTGGTGCATATTCTGGTCATTGGTTAGGTGATAATACAGCTGCATGGCCACATCTTAAATATAATATAATTGGAATGCTTGAATTTAATTTATTTGGTATTCCGTATATAGGTGCCGATATTTGTGGATTTTTTGAAAATCGAACAGAACAAATGTGTCAACGATGGATGCAATTAGGTGCATTTAATCCATTCTTTCGTAATCACAATGCAATAAGATTTATTGATCAAGATCCCGGAAGTTTTTCTCCATCTGTTGTTGATTCCAATCGTCGTGTGGTTGAAACACGTTATACATTAATTCCATATTTATATACACTTTTTCATCGTGTTCATATCACAGGTGGTACTGTTGTTCGTTCAATGGCACATGAATTTCCAACTGATTCAATATGTTGGTCAATTGATGAACAATTTTTATGGGGTTCATATTTATTAATAGCTCCTGTTATTTATGAAAATCATACAACAAAAGATGTTTATTTACCATCATCAAATGAACGATGGTTTAATTATTATACAGGTGAAGAACACTTGAAACTTGGATATATTAATGTCACAGCTGATTATGATTATTTACCATTATTTTTACGTGGTGGAGCAATTTTACCTCGTCAAAAATCAGCTATGAATACAGTTAAATCCCGATTAAACCCTATGAATCTAATTATTACACTTGATAAACAAGAAAAAGCTCAAGGAAACTTATTTTGGGATGATGGAGAATCAATTGATACGTATCAAACATCAAATTATAATTATTTTAATTTTAATTATGATAAACAACATTTAACAATTGAACCATGGACATATAAACATACACAAATGAACGATCATATTAAATTAGATGATATTACAATTTATGGTTTGATAAATCAACCAAAAGAAATTCAATGGAATGACCAAGAGTTATCAAATATTACATGGACATTTAATTCAACTTTAAATGTCTTTAAAATGGAAGCATTAGCTTTAGATTTATCTCAAACACATAAATTCATTATTTCTTAATCCTGCTTTTTTTTATTTATTCAATAATGATAAACCAGCATTTTTTTCTTTTTTATAAACATAATTTTATTTTCTTAAAATGTTATTGTACATTGATCAATAACATCGTATTTTATCATATATTTAATCTGATTTGTAAATCATTGAAAAAAATAAACTCATTTGTTCATTCAATATTCGCGATATAATATTTATTGCATTGTTTTGGTAATATAATAGCTGGTTCAAAGATCCTAATGCATAGCGCCGAGTTGATTGAACATTGTAATGAAAAGAATGTTGAAGATAATTTAAAATTTTAAAAAGAGGTTGCATATTTTTAATAAAATATTTCGAAAATTCGATGTAATTCTTCCATGGATCAAAAAATTTCTTCAATGAACAGCAAAACAAAGAAAAATATTAAAATTGTCGTTATCTTAAAAAAATTTATTTTGAAAACAATACTCTTATCTGGCTCTTCTCTTTGATCATCAATGAAATTTTCTAATTCTAATTCTCTTCCTACGAAGCCTTTTCAATCATCAATTTCTGGTAAGACTTTTCTTCAATTATTGCCGCTAGTTCATCATCACATACAAAAACAGTATATATCAGAACGGATTAAAACTCTTATGAAATAATAAACATTGACATATGCTATTATTTAAAAAAATAACAAAAGCAAAACACAACTTTATGGTGAAAAGTTTTTAGTTTTTGTCTACTGAAAAGTCAGTAAATATCGGCGAATTCGGTAAAATTGAAGGTTTTGTATGTTGTCAAATATGTTACCAAATATTTGTTTACACTACAACTATTTGTGTTTGAGATATGCTTGTTTATTCATGCGTGAAACATTTATTTAATACAATTAGATGAATGGTATATTTTTTCTTAAAAAATATACGCTGGGCGTGTGGTTATGGATGTGGAGATCTTATCTTCACCCTCATCACAGTCGCATTCTATTTCATTCAGTTCGCTACATTTGACAAAGACAAATATGAAAATCAAAATGACATTAGTTTAAAAAAAATACATCCATTAAGAAAGAAAATATTTTATTGATAAACACTTAGTTATATCCAGTGCTGATAGTAGTCTGGTCGGGATTGTCCGGCGTTACTTATAAGTTTTTACTTTAGTTATAATTTGCTGTAGAAATAAATACTAATCGAAATACGAAGTTTTTATTATAAAGAACAACACTAATGAGAGATATTATTGGTTATTAAGCATTTTATTTAAAAACAATAAAAAATAAATGACATTACTACTAACTCAATTCTGAATAATATAAATTAAAATGTTCACTGAACTGCTTTAGTTCTGCTTCTATTCGTATGATACTTTTGTGTTAATATTTTTCAGTAGAATACCATATGGTCGAACAGCTGTAGGAACTACAATACGCCAGGCTTCACCTACTTTGACTGAAGTTGTATGAGTAGTATACAAATTAGGTCTCACTCGACAATGAAAGACGACTTGAAATCCATCGGTTTTTTCTGATGATGTTTTTACCTCGAACGTTTCCGTATAAAACAGATGAGATCCGCCATTACAATGTGTTGCTACATACAATCCAGATCGATTTACTTCTTCACATTTCTGTTTTATAGCTTCATGAATCATGTAATCTGTTTTGACGCTGCTGACTAGCGCAAACCTTGATCTGTAATACTTTTTACGGCTCTTGACTTCGTACCATGGAAAGCGACTGGCCATTCTCCTGGACCATTGCTAGAGCCAAGCCAAGTTGAACCATATTTATATTTATTATCAACTTTGAGTGCATGACGAAACCAACCAATAGGTAAATAGTGCGGAAGACTACCGTGCATTAGTTCTGCAGGTACATCAGGTTTCGTATAATCATAATTGTATTTTGGGTCGAAATCAAATGCCTGGAGCTGTAAATAGAACATACCTAGCATCTATTTGCATTGATATTTATCTGGTTTAATATAGCAAAGAATAGTATTGTTTGAGAAGCCTGATTGAGCATGATCCTACACATAAATTTTATACATGAATTAAAAGAACACTTATGTGAAAATTGTCGATCAAAAAAGTGATAGTATATGATAATGAATATGATAGGAATGATGATTTTCATTGTAAACAAAAATACGATAGTAATAAATTAAAATGTTTTTCTAAGTGACTAGTAACATGCTCAATATATTATAGATGATGAACTAATTATTTTACAGAACCATCCCTATCGTATGTAGAGCCCATGGAATTCAAAAATTTTCGGACTCGAATGCATGTTATTGAACACTTTTGGAATCCACATCCGGTCGAGCAGTATTTTGATACTCTCAATAAAGTTTTCTAATTGGAATAGAATAATCACCCCGAAGATACTAGATACTTTTATTCGGCTTTTTATATTTGGTGACTAGAGGACCGTTCATGTTTTCCAAAACGACTAGAGCTCGTCGAATTGCTTCCAATGGACTCTAATCGTAAGTAGTTATAAACAAAAAGATACACAATAATTCTAGAAACAATACATCACATATAATGTATATTATCTTGAAAATGTTAGCGAGCTCTTCTGTTTTTGTTTTTTCAGGTGTAGTTAGAATCAAATTGACTTCAGCTTTTCGTTCACGCTTCTTTGATCGTTCAACAGACGTGACACGAACAAAATCATTTTCACAGGAAAGATCCTGAGCAACAGTATCGATAAAAGCCAACAAAAAATTGTTGCATACTTTCTTCTGACCGAGCGATTTCATCATAATCCAAATCAATAATAAGAGCAAACTTGGCAGAAGTTATATGCTCACTAGCAAATAAATGAGCACTACCTAAATCAGCTACACCAGTTGCTGTGCGATGAACACTTTCTTCAAATGATAGATCTTCAGTAGTAAAACATAATTTAGCACCAAACTATTGGATGAATGCATCGAGTGCAAATACAAGCGTTTCTGTAGCATCTTCTGTAACTTCAATTGGTTCACTAGTAAAATCACTTGAATTATTTGTTTCGTTCTGAACTGCTAGAAAACGTGCTCTAGTATTGAATGGACGACTTTCAGTAATATTAGGTGAATATTTTATATTTTTCAATACTTTCTCTTCATCATTAATCTTAAACCATTTGGGTGTCATCACTAATTTCGTTGAATTTTTTCCGATGACTATTGCTATCACTTTAAGTTTTGAAAGTATAAGTAATGGACCAATTTGTTCTATTTTAAAGTGTGCTGTTTTTGTTCTAACAATAGTATGCGAATACGCATGTTTGATTTCTTCATTTCGCTTACGCGATAATTCTTCATAGTTTTTTCGTAGTTTTTCGATTTTAATGAGTACAACTGAATCGAGCTCGAGATAACGCTGAGAATCATTATACATTAAATGGAGTATTCTTTTACGAAGTTTATCAATACTCTTGTTGATTCTATAAATATTTTCAAGATTTTCCATCGCTGGTTAAATCGAATTAGTTCTTTGTTAAAAAGAACTCGAAACGATAGATATTTTACTAAATGATTATAAAAAATTTATTTTAAAACAACCGAAGATTTTATAACGATATTCAACACAAGCAGCATCATCATACTATTACTCGATGATAAAGAACTGCATTTTTGTAAAAAAAAATATCTTTATACTTCTACTTACGAATCCATACGTGAATTTCTATGAATGGAAAATTGGTTATCAATGCATATGTTCACAAAAAAAAATGATTATCTCATCATTAAAATATTATAGGACTATTTTATTCAGATACAGTAATTGAAAAGATGGTAAACACTTTCTTATAAAATTGAATATTTGAACAGCTACGTGAGTATGTTTTACCGATACTCCAAAGAAAAAAAAAACAATTTGATTTCAACTCTCGACTACAGATGTAAATTTCTTTTCTCTTTTTTCTTTATAAAAATAGTCGAATCACTTCGAGAAAAACTGAAAGTTGAAGACTTTGAATTGATCTATCTTCAAGCAATATCAATCAAACATTCTTAGTTCTATTTTCGCAATATTTTTACTTGCCTTTCTATCAAGTTTCTATTTCATTGTGTCACCCATTTGTTTTTTTGTGTTTTCTTCTTCCGACCTTTTCGTACGTTGGAATTTCAAGCATCAAGATTTATTTATTATATTATATTTAAAATTATGCAGATTCAAGAAAACAAAAATTTTTTTTATATCATCCAAAAAATTCATTATTTCTATTTGAATTTAAGGCAAAGACAAATTATCAAATTTAGATTTAGTATATTTTCACCGACTTCTACATCATTGAAAGAATCAATAAGAGAAAACGACTGTGGATCAAATATGATTGACTCTATCACTAACATTTAATCACAATCCATTAGTTCATGAAGGACGATCTATAAAAGATGTTTACGTAAAAATCGCATTTTTTTGACCCCGCCTTTTGTTCAAATTTGTCCAGTTTTATCAAGCCCATTCTTTTCTGGACGTCTAGTAGAACCTGTAAGGTCGAAAATTTTCAGACTCGAACCCAACTAGATCTTACTTTGAGACTAACTCATCGACCTTTAACATTCAATATGAAAAAAAAACAATTAGAAAAAGCCTGTCTGTTCAAATATAATGCTTCTTTCGCATTAAATAACAGTTCATGAAGTAAAATATATCCAAAATAGAAATCAATAAATGCACATTTGGTAAACAACACATAAAAAAATAATCTATGGAAACATTCTGTTTTTTTAATACATTATATTTTCATGGACAGAAAATAGTAACAACAAAAATGAAGTTTAATACCAACGACACTCGAAAGTGTCATAAATACTGCTTCACAAAAAAATAATCTGCTCTTATATTATAATCTTGAGTTATTTCCCTACTGTATTCCTATTCAGCGGATTCACATTCAGTTCATTTCCAATATTAAATGCTCTTTAAAACAAACTAATTTGGAAATTTTTGCTGAAAGTTGTATGAAAAAAAAACAGAATATTCATAGTAAGTGTTTGGAAGTTCAGAAATGTTTAATATCCGCCTCTGTTCTCTCTGTCCAATTTTGATGGACGTCCTCTACTTCCTTTTACCTGTATGTCTTCTATGGGTGGCCCTTTACACAATCGATCGGTTACCATTTCACTTGGCAGCAAACTCAAGATGTGGATCTAATTCTTATCTCCCTTCACATTTATACCTGCATCCTCAAGTAGGCAATAGATTTAAACGACCTTTTAACCGATGGATATGGTAACCAATCGTTAAATACACAGTTGGTAATATTTTATCCAGACTTGTTTTTGGTTATCAATCTATTCTGCGATATTGAAATTGGCAAATATAGAAATTACCCAAATTCAAATGTTATTAACAATTAATAAATGATTAAGAATCATATATAAAGTGCTATTTATATATTTACTTTGTCAATAGTAGTTAAGTATGATACACTCTAATCATTAGGATTTAAGTCATTTGTTTACAATTCAAGACGTCTAATGATTACAGTAAATCGATCAATGAACTAACAAATACTCGTCATTCATTTATATAACAGATTCATATACGTTGTTACTATGTAAACATCATTTGACTTATTCAAAATATTACACTTTTTTATTTCCACTATATTTTGACCAGAAATACTTTGTAGATTTTCTCTTCTTCGTAGATTAAGACAATGTTTTTCATTGCAATAATATTTATAAATTTTACGGTTGAAAATAGACTACACAGATTGACCATGACAAGTTAGTTCTATCACAAGACAAAACAATATAAAGTCAAACAAATAATCAAATGTTCAAAAGCGAAAAAAACATATATATCAGAGATCCAAGGAGCTCCTCTATGCTACTTCGTGCTTACATGTCCCTATCTTATTTTGTTTCATGAGTAGATTTCAAAGGCACCAAATCGTTTGTTCCGTTCTCTTGCAGTCCACCTCGAGATAATGCAGTGTTGCATGTACGTGTGCTAGAGAGAGAAGTAGCGCGAAAAACCTCTGTGGATCTCTAATATATCTCAAAGCTTTCATAAGTCTATATAATTATTATACAAAATAGAGTTTACAGCCGATAAGGAACTGTCGAAACTTGGCACAAAAATACGATAAAAAAATGAAGGTAAATTTCGTACATATGGCCATGGAAGATTAATAAAACATTGAGTTATACGACGATTTAATGAACGAAGTTGAGAAACCAGAAAAACAATATCATAAAATTCAATTGAGAGTTCTCCATTGATATTCAATCGACGAGCTAAAATATCAATGATTTTCAAAAATCAATAATAAAAAAAGATTATTAGATTTACCTTGAGTATATTCAGAAAATGCTTGAACACATTCATATTGACATTTTGACCATAATTTATTATCTTCATTAATTAAATTTAAGTCTTATAAATAAAAAATGTAAAACTTTTTGTTTTTTTGTTTGTCTATTAAAAAATTATTCTTACTATGTCGAGTAATAATCATTAATAGAAAAAGAGCGAATTCTTTTTCATCTAAACGAAGATCTCTTAGTGTAGATTCAAATGATCGAAATAAATTCTCTGCCTGTGTTAATTGTGGAATATATGCATTTAATTCCATTGATAATGTTGATTCAGCTTGCCAATAATTCCATGTTGATTGAATATTTTCATACGAGGATTTTATGAACATTTTTCCCATTAATAATGTTACCATAATAACAGAATTAATAGATGATGATATAATTTCATACTTCTGAGACATATTTGTAAAGCCTATTGAAAAAATTATTAATTAACAATAAATTAAAATATTGTAACATGTTAAATAATTAATCTATTCACTTTTACTATATATGTCATAGAAGAAAATAAACTATTTAAAATGGTTTGAAAAAATTACAGAAGAATGACAACACAAAACAAGAAAACGAAATAAACTAGTAAATGTTAATGATGATGATGATGTATGTTACCCGGTATTGTTTTT